GATTTTGATCTTTATTCCCCCTGTGTGCATAGAGTATGTGGAATTCATTATAGTGCATACCAAGGTGGTGTTGCATCATTGCATGTGTCCTGGTGATCTAAAACAAATGGAAAGTTGGTCTCCTCACCTGGAAAGTAAAAAAGTCATCTGCAGCCACGTTCATCATGTTGCAAATCTGCAGTCATATGAAAAAACAATGGAGTTAAATGATTTGTTATGAGTGCTTAGTAACTCATAATAAATGTTTTTAATCAAGCTTCGCAAACATTTTTATTTTAATTTTCATCTACATTTGCTTGTTCTACCTTATGTCATGTTTATAATTTACTGCATGGAATTTCAGTACGTTCATTGCACTAAAAAAACCTTGTGAAATCCAAAATGTGTAGGTATCCTCTTATATATTCAGTGCCATAAATTGCCATATACTATCATCAAGTCACTTCATATACAGTATTCCTTCTGACAATTTGCACTACATACCACTAGTTTACATTCTGGACAGAAATGTAAGTGTATTATGCACTTTTGCCTTATGTATGCAGAGTTCTGTCACACTGCACAGAACATGTTCCTAGACCCTCTGTTTCACTATATTGTGATGGTAAACATCTCTGTCATTGTTCCAAGTCTGTTCCTTTCTATGTCCTTGTTTTCATTTCCTCACAATTCAAGTGATTCTGATGATAAACTCCTCTGTGGCATCTGTGAGAGACTTACAAAACCATTCTCTGCAACGTAGCTTGGCAGTCCACTGACTAGAGCCCAGTGATCTGCAGGAGGAGCACTGAAAGAGCATGAAAGAGAGAGACATAAAGATGTGATTGGGTTGGAGTGAGCAAGTAATTCTCTGAATGGCATGTTAAACACTGCTGACCCCACTTTCAGTGCAAATTTACTCAGCTGTTGCTTCACCTTAGTGTCATACCCAAATAACATTCATCAGAAACCCAGAGAACTGTGTTGCAAATAATGCGAGACGGTGGACAAGTATAACTGTATTTTAAAGTATACCGGATATCTCTATTTCATCAACTCCAAATTATAGCTGTAAATATTTTTAATGTGACTGAGTTTGAGATGTTTCTGAACTAAATCAGGATTTTTATCTAGAAAAAGGTGAGCGATTCTTCACTCCATATGTTCTGTCTTATGTTGCATTTAGAAATGTATTGTACTGTATTCATTTGAGTGCGTTTGTAGCATGCAGTTAGTGCTGCTTACGGTACAACTTTGATTTCTTCTTTGGCTTCCAGGAGGTAGTCAATGATCTTGTAAAAGTTGATTTCCTGTATTAAAATTAGAACTGAGTCATCTTCAAATTATTGTAGATAATAGAACATTTTGAGAGAGCAGGATTTAGTTGTTCCACTTATGACAGTGGGGAGGAAAATGAGTGTTACCCTCCCATCTGGTGTTTTTGGTCCTTTATAAGGTTGCACATCTCCCAGTTTCACTGGCCATTCATCATAGAATTCCTAAAACAAACAGGTTATAATAACCGTTTCATTAAATAAATGACTGTAGCCATAAATGAAATGTTTTCAGTCCTGTTTGTAATCTAATGGGCATGACCAACCTTCTCTCTGGTCATATCCAACAGGCCCACTGAATATCGTTCGCATTGTAGATAGGTCCTCACAGTGTAGAGTGCTTTGTGGAACTGTCTCTCAATGTCTGTCAACTCCTCAAACACTTTACTGGCTGACCAGAGCAGCACCTAGAGCCAAACAAACAGGAGTGAATTTACGCTGTTATATGAGCCTTGTCCTCTGCATTAAAAATAGCAGTGGTTAATTAAGCAGGGGCACAGTATTAATGATAGGAATTTGCCACTGGATAACACATGCCAGTGTTATCCACTCATTCGCACTGCAAATAGCAACAGTTCAGTTTACCTGACTCCTCCTTGATTCCACGTTGAACATGTAGGCTGTGTAATGCTGCAGGGTGATGACTTGTGCAAAGTTCATGTACTTGTGGAAGAGCTAAAGACCAAAACAGATTAAAGGTCTCATCAATACACATCAGCAGATCAAAGCCTGTGACACATTAACTTATTTTAAGTAGCACAGCTTTTCCTCTGCAAAGAGGTGAAATGTATAGCAGTAATATGGTGGGTATGTACCATATGCATCATTATTATTGTTGCCTGCATAAAGTGAAATTTCAATTTGACAGATCAGTAAATATTGACTTCAACTTAACTCTTTCTTGAGAGTCAAATTTTTGGCTAATCTCTACACTACCAGTCAAAAATCAGGATGCACTTTCCAGTTCAGTTTAATGGGAAAGTGAGTCCAAACTTTGTAAAAGGTCTTTGCAGGCTGATAAGATTCTACTGACCAGATAAACATCACTGTGTTTTTCTTAATGTGAAATTTACATTTTGGACATGCAAGAGAATATGGAGGTGAAAGAGATTGCATGTACAGAGAAAAATAAGTAGGCAATTATGTGTTCTTCTTCTGTCTAGCACCAAGAATAAAGGGATATCAGACACTAGGATGCATCTTTGCAGTTCAAGCCTTTGCACTGTGCATCACTACCACCTTTCTCCGCCTTAGATCTCATTATCTTTTTCAGTTCCCGTAAATCTTCATTATAACTGTGAATCAACCTCAGCAGTTTGTAAAAACATCATTTCCATCTGACCCAGTTCATTATGGGATTGTACCTCAGCATGAGTTTATGGTGTCTGAATAAAAAGAGATAGCAGGGAATTTTCTCTAATGACAGAAAGAATATATTCCTAGTTAAAACATTATGCCTCTGTTTTAGTCAAATGCTCAAAAGCAACCACATCAAGTCAGTCAGGTCTGATTGGCTTCCACTGACATAATGGGAGTGTTTGGCACCCTACTGGTTAAGTGTAATTACAGCAATAATCTCAGCTGCAAATTTCAAATGGCAGAGCACAGCCTTCCCGAAGCAGAAGACAATGATTTATGGATATAATGAACAGAATTCCAACAAAACAGAATGTATTTTAGCTGTTAGATAAAGAACATAATAAAAATAATTACAGTATCTGACACCATAAAGGTCAAATTCGGTTTCACTTTCCAGCCATGTATCAGTGTCCAAAACACAGCCCTCTTCCAACTCAACCAGCAAGTCGACAAGCACGGGGGTGAATGTGCATGTGTAAGTGTTCATTCTTACTGCCTCATCCTCTGAAGAGAACGCATCAGCTCCTATTTTGTTTAGTGCCATAACAACTCCAATGCACTCTTTCTGGTCTTATATCCCGTCTGTTTGTCCACAAAGTCAGAGAACTTTTGATTCTAGATCAAGAGAAAAAGGAAACAATTATAAAAGGTTTGGTTAAATCCACGTGTACAGAAGACAACATCACTAACATACATCAACACATTCACATGATTTATTTTATTTTACTCAGTACAATGTTATTTTCATAAGGCCATTAATTGCATGTCAGGCCATCTAACACTTTTTCAGCAGCATGCTGTCAGAGCTTACTTTTGTTTTTATTCTCTAATCAATATTCTTTTGTCTACACTTGACAGCAGAAGACATACAATGCTGCATTCACATTTGCCAGTGGACAGGATGGGTCAGTATATCATCAAGTTCTTATGATAATCCAACTAATGCCATGTATATGGGGATGGCAGGCATAGACACAAGGCAATAATTTAAAAAAATAATTCGGATATTTGCTGCATTTGCATACATTTTGTTGCACACTAAAACTGACTAATAAAAAATATTAAAATATGTCATGTAATATAAAACCATCCCCCTATGTTTTAGCATTGATTCTGAAAACACAGCAATATATCACTACTATATTTTAGTGTCATATCACTGTAATATCATTTAAGCTATTTGAACTTTAATACAGTTACAAACTATTCACTTGTTTTCAAAGCAGCAATAGCAAGAACTCATCTTGACATTGGGAATTTGATTCATTTTTAGAAAGAGACCATATGCTCTCACTGTGTTAGGGCCACTGATTTGTGTAGCCCACAATCTAGTCAGTGAACTTCAGCTAACACATACTTACACATATTTATAAAGTCATAAAGCTGTTTCTGTTCCACTAAGCCTATAAACTTCACCAGCAGCTTTGCAGAAACTCAGCACATCACTATATAATTTTGACAGTTTCAGCGTGACGTCTCTTGGAGAGAGAGAGAGAGAGAGAGAGAGAGAGGGCATTTAATTACTTCTCACCTTTGAAGCATCTGGAACATTTTGTGGCGTTTTGGAGTGGGCGGTGTAACCAACAATACCAATATCGAGAGGGAACACAATTTCACCCTGCGGATTGACTAGGTTGGTCTCGAACCTGGATGCTGCGGTCACGTCAAAGAGGGACGTGGCCAGCTCAGGTATTCCATTTCTCGCCCGGCATATGAAAAAGCTGACCCTGTCGGCCTGTATGAGCAGGGCAACTCTCTGCAGCACTTTGTGAAGAGGCTTCTCCATCTCTCCCTGTTTCTGCAACTCCTGGACCAACTCGAAGATGATGGCGGCTTCCTGGACAGAGTTAACATCCGTGAAGGAAGCGGTGTCTTTGACGACGACAGGTGCGTTAAAGGCTGCGACCAGGGCCTCGGCGCGCATCTTCTTCTCAAAGTATTCTTTGGCGAACTGCGGGTTGTTCTCCAGATATTTCTCCACGCTATCCTTGTCTGCCATTATGAACTCGTGTAGTTTTGTATTCCCGTCACCTTTTCACAAAAGCATCACCTGCAGGGAAACGTCGGAACGGAGAGGGGAGCAGTGCTGTGGCCTACAGGGTTGCGCGGATCAGCAACATCCGTTTGTGCGGACATGCACTCTCCTCCACGGTCCGGAGGGAGTCATTAACTCATCCCGCGTCCGCCGACAGACAGAATAGGACAGAGTGAGGCTTAGAGTCTGAAAGGATCAAAGTGGCCCCTAATTAAAGTGACGTCATGACATTAAAACCCCATCTCTAAGCGTCCTTATCCCGCAAATCCCAACGCTGATCATTTTATATCGGGCGATCCTCCAGGTGAAATGCCAGGTTGGATGCATCAGGTGAGGTAAAGATTAAAAAGAGGCAGTTGTCGGTGAAATGTTTTGAAAACCCCAGCACAGAATGGACACTGAAGAAACACTGTGGCAACAGTGTCTCACAGGGCCTTACCCCAAGACCCCCAATCCCCATCCATGGAACTACATAATAGTACAGTGACAACCACTGGCTGCTATGTACTGTAGCCCATGGAGAAGTCC